ATATACAGGGTGAGTCACTAAACGCGCGCTCCACGACATCTCACCAGTTATTAGAAATAAAAAAAGTCAAAGACCAAAGTTGTACAGTTCTTCGAGGACCATGTACTAAAATTATTTTCAGCTATACAGAGTATTGTTTTTTTAAGGCGTAACACAAAATTTATTTTTTTCAAATAGAATGCCCTATACCCCTATATAAAAGTTTTCTCGCAGTAGGGTTATTTTTAAAATTTGGGTTACAATATTTTGTGGAGAGATAAATAAAAAATACGGGCTTGATTGTGGTGCGAATTAAATTTGGTTTTAATATACAGTGTTTGTTAAAAATAAATTATAGCAATTTCCAAACATCAGTATCTATTTGTTTTTTTTCAAATAGAACATCCTGTATTTTATTACTGCATCTTATTCTGGTTTTTGTTTAGAATAAGGTGCAGTAATAAAATACGGTAATTAATTTTTTATGAACAGTTTGTATATTAAAATTTAATATAATTGATACTATAATAAGGCGTGGAACTCTTTTTATATCTCCATAAAATATTGCAAAACAGATCCTTTTTTGAAAAACCTCATTTTCAAAAATACAACACACTCCATGTATATTTGAAAATAATTTTAGTATATACTACTCAACAAATCATACAAGTCTAGGTCGGAAGAAAGCCAAAGACTAAATTTGTATAATTCTTCAAGGACCGCGTACTAAAATTATTTGCAGCTATACAGAGTGTTCTTTTTTTAAGGCCTAACACCAACAATGTTTTTTCAAATTGAATACCCTATATATTTTTACATATTCTACTCGACTTGTTCTTAGGTTTTTACACCATAGTGTATTTTCAAAATTTTGATTCGATGTTGCCAAGTTATTCCAATTTTCTTAAAACTGGAAGGGTTAAAAAAAACAGTAAAGCCCATATTTTTATTTATCTGCGATTTACTAGTTCTTACTAAAATAAGATGTTGGTAAATGATTTACCTTCTAAGAAAATAAAGGGCGGGTGGGCGGGGCTAGTACTTCTTAAGATATGACTGATTTTGGAAAATGACACTCCCTCTAAGAATATAATGGGCGGGTGGGCGGGGCTAGCACTTGCTACGATAAGACTGATTTTAGCAAATGATATACTCGCCAAGAAAAATTAGGACGGGTGGGCGGGGCTAGTACTTCTTAGGATATGACTGATTTTGGAAAATCACATTGCCTTGAAGAATATAACGGGTGGGTGGGTGGGGTTAGTGCTTGCTGAGATAAGACTGATTTTGGCAAATGACATCCCTTTAAGAATATAATGGGCGGATGGGCGGGGCTAGTACTTACTAAGATTTTATCAAATTATATACTATCTAAGAAAATAAAGGGGGCGTGGGCGGGACTAGTATTTGCTAAGATAAAAGTGAACAATATCAAAAGTAGTCACTAGAATGAAGAAGAGTTAGGTGAGCAGGACTCCTGCTTGCTTATAAAACTCTATAAAAAAAGGCTAAACCCAGCCCCCTCTCCCCTTTTCTTTTCTCCATTTCATTGTCATTTAAAAAAAGTTGAACATCGTATACAAAAACAAATGAACGCTAAACAATTTTAACATTTTTTTTTAAGCACATGCTATCTGCATCTCTAACGTGTGTAAGATCTTAATACCAAAAAGTAGGAAAGTCATTATTTTTCTCGAAAAATGTTATTTGAGAATCCGAGATTTTTTTCCTTTTTCTCAAAAACTGTTTTGTTAATATCGAAAAAGCAATAAAACCCGATCTAAAGCAGCCATGGATTTTTGAGAATCCGTCTTTGATAGAATTTTCACCTTGTCAGATTGCCGTCAATTCGAAAGTTTGAGTTGAAATCCATGGCTGCTTTTATCGTGTTTTTCTTAATCTCTCGGTATATTTTCGACGTACGGTTGGTCATTAAAATCTAGCAAGCTCGCTGGTAGTCGTTGCAGAGGAATCAAAAGCTTTCATGTTTTCTTGTTAGGAATGTTAGGTTATGTTGTTTTAACTGTAAGGTTAGGAAATCTGACGAAAACGTAAACATTGTCGCAGGAAACATATTTTTATCGCATTTTGTTATTATAGAAGAACAATGGTTGGCATAGAAAACCGGCTTGAAATAAATTATGTTAGACTATTGACAGAAAAAAAGTATAATATTTTTTTATATTTATCAAAATATAAACATTATACTTATTAGTCTGTATTTCGTACACAGAGTTTTATGAAGTAAAATATATATTTTCAACCCTGAAAATGTACAGGATGTCCAAAATCTTACAGTAAAAGTTACTCACTCCCTGCTCACTATTAAAAAATGTTTTAATACAGTCAACAAATGTTTTAATTAATTAAATATTACATAGATATTTATTTAAAAAAATTGCTCTTTTTGTAGTGGGACAGTCTATATATTTTTCGTACTTGAATGACTACAAGAAGAGACATCACCAGAAGCTAAGATTTTGTCCTATTGAATTTATTTTCGTGTACAAGAACTTAAATTTTCAAACTTCAGTACTTTAACAAAAGTTAAAAAATTGTCAAAATTGCTAATATAAATTTCGGCATGAAGTACCTAAATGTGTATATGCAAATGATTTTAATTAGTACTTGCTGTGATAAGACTGATTTTGGCAAATGATATAGTCTCTAAGAAAATAGAGGGAGGGTGGGTGGGCGGGCCTAGTACCTGTTAAGATAAGAGTGATTTTGGAAAATCACATTCCCTGGAAGAATAGAATGGGTGGGTGGGCGGGGCTAATACTTGCTGAGATAAGACTGATTTTGGCAAATTATTTACCCTCTAAGAAAATATAGGGTGAATGGGCGGGGCTAGTACCTCCTAAGATATGACTGATTTTGGCAAATGATTTACCCTATAAGAAAACAGAGAGCGGGTGGGCGGGGCAATATGAAGAGTTGTCATTAGAATGAAGAAGAGGTGAGTGAGCCCTGAGGAGGGCTACTGCTTGCCTATAAGAAGTTAAACCCAGCTCTTTTCTCCATTTCATTGTCCTTTTTCTCTCAAAAACTGTATTGTTATATACCGAAAAAGCAATAAAACCCGATCAAAAGCAGCCATGGATTTTTGTGTATTCGTCTTTGATAGAATTTTCGTCTCAAGGCTGCTTTAATCGTGTTTTTATTGATCTCAGTATATTTTCGACGTACCATTTGGTCATTAAAATCTAGCAAGCTTGTTGGTAATCGGTGCAGAGGAAACAAAATCTTTCATTTTTGGTCAAAAAGTCAGCAATAAAAAGGTAACAAGAAAGCTGCGAATGACAATCAATAATCAATAGAAACAAAAAAGAGGGCAAAAAAGGGAAAATAGAGGAATAAAAAGCACAAAATGGAAAAAGAAAAAAGTGACAAAAATTAAGAAAAGTGACAAAGAAGACAAAAAGTTTGAAAGGGGCCATAAACAGTAACTATGCAAAATTTCACGTGACGTCATCACATTGTGGAAGAATAAATATAAAATTTGACAGCAATTGGTCCTGTAGTTTCGGTAATTTTCTATCTAATTAAAAACGACAGACAGACAGATGACAGACAGGCAACACACAGACGAAGACAGACAGACAGACGACAAAAAACACTGAAAGGGTAAAACATATACAAAAGCAAAACAGGTACGATGAAGAATGAACTGCACAAAAAAACAGTAAAAAAGGGACAAAGAGAATGAACTCCACAAAATCAGAAAAAACACGAAATGAACATAAACCCAAAAAAAATACCAAAAAAAAAAGGTATTAAAATCGTCTAATAAAAGCTACAAAAAAGAGGGACAGAAAATGCACACGAAAAGTAAAAAAGTGGTAAAAAGGGACAAAAAAGACATGAAACAGAACACAAAAGATGCCCCAAAAAGGTACAAATTCAGCAACAAAATGGTAACAAGAAATAGCTGCGAATGACAATAAATAATCAATAGAAACAAAAAATATAGTAAAAAAGAGAAAACAAAGGAAAAGGAAAAAAGTGTCAAAAATTAATGAAGGTGACAAAGAAGAGAAAAAGTTTGAAAAGGACCATAAACAGTTACTATGTTAGGAATGTTAGGTTATGTTGTTGTAAATGTAAGGTCAGGAAACATATTTTTATCGCATTTTGTTATTATAGTACAACAATTTTTGACATTTTTTATTGAAATTATTTGGCAATGACAAAATTTACGTAGAAAACCGTCTCGAAATACATTTTGTCAGACTATTGACAGACAGACAGACAGAAAGGATAATATTTATATATGTATTTACAATAGAAATTTTACAGTTTGTGATTTTCTTATTTATCAGAAATAAACATTATGCTTAGTCTGTTTTTTTTTACACAGATTTATATGAATTAAAATATTTTCAGCCCTGAAAATGTACAAGATGTGTCAAAATCTTACAGTAAAAGTTACTCATTCCCTACTCCCTATTAAAAAATGTTCTAATGCAGTCAACACAATTAAGTATTACATAGGTATTTCGGTAAAAAAATTGCGCACCAAATCCCCTTCTTGTAGTGGGTCAGTGTATATATTTTTCGTACTTGACTACAAAAAAAGAAATTACCAGAAGCTCGAATTTTGTCCAGAAAATTACAAAAAATTTCTAAATGAATTATTTCTGGAACTTACATATAGCCTTTTTAGATTAGATAACAACTTAATTAAAAATTTTTATGTGGTTACATTGAATATGAAATTAATTATTAGACACGATCTCGTAAAGCTGCTAACACCACACCGAAACGAAAATAAAAGTCAGCTCGCAGGAAATGCAGTTTTACAGGTTCTCGCCACTAAACGTTCGTTCCCAGCTAGTTATCCAAACCCATTAAGCCCCCATCAATCCCAGCCACGCCAAAAAACCTTCGCAGCTCCTTCCTGCCGCACTCCGCGCGTTACACTTCTCTCACGGAAAACTGCAAGACACCCTGACGTCACACGCATTCAATCCGCGCCATCACCGAAGGCTGTTCTGCTGTCCCCTACTTTCCTGCAGCCGGGTTTCCTGCTCAGTCACCGTCCAGAAGTGTTCGGCGACGGTCTCGCGCTCGCACGCTTCACCGTAGACCTCGTGCGCGAAAAACGTGAAATGTAGTTCCGCATCCGAAGACATTTCCAGCGAAAAAGTGTAAGCATGCCGAAATGCGGTTTCCGGGTGCTGCTGCTGGCGCTGGCGTACTCGACGATGGCGTTGGGGTTGGTAGATTTTAGGGCTGACGAAGAAGTAAACAATCGGTGACACACATTCGATTTATAAATATCGGGTTTTTGCGATGGAGTGAAAGTATCGGGGCCAGTGGTACTCGTGCGAAAAATGCAGTGAATCCGGGCGATGGCGATGGGCTGACACAGGGAGGAAGTGTGGTTGTGGTTGTTTTGGATTGCTATTGTATGCAGCGGTTACTTGGTCGGGTATTTGGTGTTGTTGGGTTTGGTATTTAGCCCTAAAATTTTATCAAAGAATACTAAATATAGTATTAAGCGAGAACTTGGTGTAAACTAGGGTGTGAAAAAATTTACTCCGAGTTGGCTAGAATCCACAAGCTTCTAGGATGTCTGTCATTTTTGGTAATAATATTCAGGGAAATTCGTAGTATCTTGTAGAAAAGTACACACATTTAGATAAATCGGGTCCAAATTTTGTTTGACTTTGTGGATAATAATAATAATTGTTTTAAGATAGATAGCTTGACGTTTTATTGGCGTTCTGCAGCTTATAGAATACGAAAAAATAATTTTAGTTGTGCTTTGTTGCCGTATGACTTTTCTTTAAAAAAAGAGTCACCATTTATTTCGAAGGATTTGTAGTAAGACTTTTTTCAAATTTGGCAAGGCCTAAAACTGAATCATACTTACAAATATTAAAAAATAGATTTTAGTCATCTTTTCCACAAAAATGATGACCCACTTCTAGTTTTCAAATATAAATTTTACTTATAAATGAATTGATGAAATAAAAGTCTAATAACACACTAGTGTTGTTGTGTTAATAAATTAATATACAGGGCGAGTCAAAATATATATAGAAAAAAAAGTTCGAAAATTACTTACAATTACACAGTGTTGTGTTTCATAATTTGAAACTTTTGACACTAGAAATTAACAAAAATATATTTTATGGGTGGATAAAAAAAAACATATCAACAAAACTGAGTTTTAGTATGCAAAGAATTATAACAAAGTAAAAAGCAATTTCACCACCCTATATATTTTAACATACCATAGTTTATTTTTGAAATTCCGATACGACGTTGGCAGGTTATTTCAATTTTCTTTATTTTTTTTTTTTTGGCAACATAAAATTCGTAAGGTTATTTTTAATATCTTTGTTGCATTTTATGGAGAGATAAACAGAGGTACGTACTCTGTTGCAGTATAAATTAAATGAAATTGTAATATACGGAGTGTTATACAAAAATTTTAAAGCGTTACAATTTTCAAATATGTATCCCTTTTAAGTTTTTTCAAACAGTATATGTTTTTACAAGTCGATGTGTCTCAAAAGAGTACAAATGCCAAGAACTATCGACTTCAAATATGGAAAATATTTGATAAAAAAGAAAGGGATAAAAAATGAAATTTGTAACATTTTAATTTTTTATAAACTGTCTGTATATCGAGACTCAAGTTATTTTATACCACAACTAAGCACGTGCTTTTATTTATCTCTCCACAAAATATTTTATCACCGATGACCCTATTGCAATTTTTTTTGTGAATCCTGAAATAATTTGAAAGAATCTCGGGGACCGTCTGTGCCGAATTTTTGAAGTACTAGTTTGGAAGAATCTTGGAGTTTTTTTATGTCTAGTTTTTTTAACCAATTTCAAAGAATCTCGGGGAATCTTTTTATTTTATTTTTGAAGTACTTTGAACAAGTTTTGGGATTCCTTATATTGTTTTTGAAGTAAATTGAAAAAATCTCGGGGACCACTTGTGTCTGGTTTCTGAAGTAGTTTGAAAGAATCTCGCGCAACCCTTTTGCTTTATTTTTGAAGTGATTTAAAAGAATCTCGGAGGATCCTTTTCTTGTTTTTAAAGTAATCTAAAAAAATCTCAGGGACCTCTTGTCTCTCATTTTTGAAGAAGCATGAAAGAATCTCGAACGCCCATTATGTTTTGTTTTTGAAGTAGTTTGAAAGAATCTCGGGGACCTTTTGTAGTTTTGTTTTTGAAGTACTTAATTTGAAAGAATCTCAGGATCCCTTGTCATATTTTTAAAGCAATCTAAAAAATTCTCAAGGACCCTTTGTGTCTGATTTTTGAAGAAGCATGAAAGAATCTCGAACGCCCATTATGTTTTGTTTTTGAAGTAGTTTGAAAGAATCTCGGAGATTCTTGTGTTCTGTTTTTGAAGTAATTTGAAAGAATCTCGGGGACCGCTTGTGTTTTGTGTTTGAAGTACTTAGTTTGAAAGGATCTCAGGATCCTTGTCTTATTTTTAAAGCAATCTGAAAAATTCTCAGGGACCCCTTGTGTCTGATTTTTGAAGAAGCATGAAAGAATCTCGAACGCCCCTTATGTTTTGTTTTTGAAGTGGTTTGAAAGAATCTCGGGGACCTTTTGTAGTTTTGTTTTTGAAGTACTTAATTTGAAAGAATCTCAGGATCCCTTGTCATATTTTTAAAGCAATCTAAAAAATTCTCAACGACCCTTTGTGTCTGATTTTTGAAGAAGCATGAAGGAATCTCGAACGCCCATTATGTCTTGTTTTTGAAGTAGTTTGAAAGAATCTCGGAGATTCTTGTGTTCTGTTTTTGAAGTAATTTGAAAGAATCTCGGGGACCTCTTGTAGTTTTGTTTTTGAAGTACTTAGTTTGAAAGAATCTCAGGGACCCCTTGTGTCTGATTTTTGAAGAAGCATGAAAGAATCTCGAACGCCCCTTATGTTTTGTTTTTGAAGTAGTTTGAAAGAATCTCGGAGATTCTTGTGTTCTGTTTTTGAAGTAATTTGAAAGAATCTCGGGGACCTCTTGTGTTTTGTGTTTGAAGTACTTAGTTTGAAAGGATCTCAGGATCCTTGTCTTATTTTTAAAGCAATCTGAAAAATTCTCAGGGACCCCTTGTGTCTGATTTTTGAAGAAGCATGAAAGAATCTCGAACGCCCCTTATGTTTTGTTTTTGAAGTGGTTTGAAAGAATCTCGGGGACCTTTTGTAGTTTTGTTTTTGAAGTACTTAATTTGAAAGAATCTCAGGATCCCTTGTCATATTTTTAAAGCAATCTAAAAAATTCTCAACGACCCTTTGTGTCTGATTTTTGAAGAAGCATGAAAGAATTTCGAACGCCCATTATGTCTTGTTTTTGAAGTAGTTTGAAAGAATCTCGGAGATTCTTGTGTTCTGTTTTTGAAGTAATTTGAAAGAATCTCGGGGACCTCTTGTAGTTTTGTTTTTGAAGTACTTAGTTTGAAAGAATCTGAGGGACCCCTTGTGTCTGATTTTTGAAGAAGCATGAAAGAATCTCGAACGCCCCTTATGTTTTGTTTTTGAAGTAGTTTGAAAGAATCTCGGGCACCTCTTGTGTTTAGTTTTTGAAGTAGTGGAAAAAGTTTCGGGATCCCTTGTAATATTTTAGAAGTAATCTGAAAAAATCTCGGGGACCTCATGTGCCTGGTTTCTGAAGTAGTTTGAAAGAATCTAGGGCAACCCTTTTGCTTTATTTTTGAAGTGGTTTAAAAGAATCTCGGGGAACCCTTGCCTTGTTTTTAAAGCAATCTGAAAAAATCTTGACGGCCCTTTGTTTCTGATTTTTAAAGTAATATGACAGAATCTCTGAGACCCCTTGTATTTTGTTTTTAAAGTAGTTTGAAAGAATCTCGCGGACCTTGTCTGCCCAGTTTTTGAAGTAATTTGAAGGAATCTTGGAGTTTTTTTTATGTCTAATTTTTTTAATAATTTGAAAGAATCTCGGCAAACTCTTTTGTTGTGTTTTTGAAGTAGTTTAAAAGAATCTCGTGAACCCCTTGTGTTTTGTTTTTGAAGTAGTTTGAAAGAATTTCGGGGACCTCTTGTGTCTGGTTGTTGAAGTAGTTGAAACAACCTTGGGCATTCATTGTACCTGGTTTTTTAAAAAACCTCTGCAACCCTTTTTGTGTCCTTTTTGAAGTCGTTTGAAAAATCCCTTGCATTGTTTTTGAAGTAACCTGAAAAAATCTCGGGGACCTCTTTTGTCTGATTTTTGAAGTAGATTGAAAGAATCTGGGGAAACCCTTTTGCTATATTTTTGAAGTGGTTTAAAAGAATCTCGGGGAACCCTTGCCTTGTTTTTAAAGCAATCTGAAAAAATCTCCACGACCCTTTGTTTCTGATTTTTAAAGTAATATGTCAGAATCTCGGAGACCCCTTGTGTTTTGTTTTTGAAGTAGTTTGAAAGAATCTCGGGGACCCTTTGTATTTTGTTTTTCAAGTAGTTTGAAGGAATCTTGGAGTTTTTTGTCTAATTTTTTAAATAATTTGAAAGAATCTCGGGAAACTCTTTTGTTGTGTTTTTGAAGTAGTTTAAAAGAATCTCGTGAACCCCTTGTGATTTGCTTTTGAAGTAGTTTGAAAGAATCTCGGGGACCTCTTGTGTTTTCTTTTTGAGGTAGTTTGAAAGAATCTGGTAGATTCCATGTGTCTAGTTTTTGAAGTATAATTTGAAAAAAATTTCCGGTACCACTTGTGTTTTCTTTTTGAAGTAGTTTGAAAGAATTTCGGGGACCTCTTGTGTTTTGTTTTTGAAGTAGTTTGAAAGAATCTGGGAATCCCCTTGTGTCTAGTTTTTGAAGTAGTTTGAAAGAATCTCAGGGACCCCATGTGTCTGGTTTTTGAAGTAGTTTAAAAGAATCTCAGGATCTCGTGTCTTTTTTTTTTAAAGCAATCTGAAAAATTCTTGGAGATCCCTTGTGTCTATTTTTTAAAGTAGTATGAAAGAATTTCGGAAACCCCTTGTGTTTTGTTTTTGAAGTGTTTGAAAGATTCTGGGGATCCCTTGTGTCTGGTTTTTGAAGTAGGTTGAAAGAATTTCGGGATCCTTTGTGTTTTGTTTCTGAAGTTGTTTGAAAGAATCCCGTGGATCCCATGTGTCTAGTTTTTGAAGTAAAGTTTAAAAGAATCTGGAGGACCCCTTGTGTTTTGTTTTTGAAGTG